AGCATTTAGTATTAGAGGGGCGGGACTGTTCTGCGGGCATACGACTTGTTATGGGGGGTTAGTAGGGAGTAAAGGTATGTATGTATGTATGTATGTACGTACGTACGTACGTATGTATGTGTGTGTATGTGTAAATACTGTAGTCTCAGACGACCGGCACCGCGATCACCCTCCGAGCCGAAAGATCATACAAACATAAAGCTCCTCCATACCAGGAATTAGACTTCAAGCTTTTGCAATTCTCGAGGGTTTACAGTTTAAGTGGAGAATCATTTTGCGCTTGCGTCGTTCCGAAATCCTAAACCTCTAAACCCTAAATGCAGAACCCTAAACCCCTAAAACCTGAACGCTGACCCCCTAAGCTAACCCTTTGGACAGGTGTACGCCCACAAGCTTGGTAGAGCATTCGCTGCCATTACCACGGATGGTAGCGCACCTCGGGTTCCATTCCTAGACCTTTGGGAGGATGTAGAAAGTAGAACCCCCAATATAGCAACCTAGGCTACTATAGGGTTTAGGGTTCAGGTTACTTCCTAAAAAATTGTAATTCAAGGGATCTACTTTCTAGATCCTCCCAGGGGTCTGGGTTACTGGAAGATTGGAGTTTAGCGTGTGGTATTTGAGTGCGCCGGCAGCTTTCCGAATCCGTGCTCAGAAAACTGTTTGGCAATCCATTTAGATACAGTTCGGGGGGGCTTGCACTGAGACCCTAAACCCTAAACCCTAAACCCTACTTAGAAACTATCGGCTTCGAGCTTTCCAGTGGCGTTGCAGGTAGTCACGTGGGGCAGCAGTGAGAATGGTGGAGACAGCTCAAGCGTGAAGGAGCAGTTGCAGGACATTCAGACAATCAAGGCGGGGCAAGAGTGCCCAAAGCCAAGGATCATAAATCGTATGCCAGGACGTGAAGAGGAGGTATAGTCCCCCTTAAGTGGATAGAATATAGAGTTTGGGTATATTAAAATAAGGACCCCATATACCCCATATTCTATCTATTCAAGGGGGACTAAAGCCCAAATAATTGCGTTGGAGTTGGAGGTGAGATGTGCTTGTGTACGGTTGTTGGACGACGACTTCACGGATAGAAACAAAACCTGTGAACACTCTAAACCCAAAACTCTAAACTTTGGCCCTAACTTAGGGGTACTTGGAAATAATGTTGACTTTTTGCTTATTATAACCCTAAGGAACAGCCCAAAAAAAGAAACAGGGCTCCAAGTTCCCCAATGCTAAACTGCGTGGCTGCATTCCCATCCTGAAAGGTCCGTCCCTAAACCCTAAACCCTGTGCGACCCGCTGTTTTTTTCTGGGTGTATGAGCCTCTGGGCTCTCAGGCCTCCAGTACTTCCCTGAAAGCCCATACCCACTTCTCTGCATAGGTTTTTTTGCAGATAGTACCCCATCACGACATGAGTGGATATTTCTAAAACACGGGGCTCTTGAGTAGCCCAAAGGAAAGCATAGTTGATTATAGGCTCGCTCTTATAAAGGTTCCTGGACCACGGAAGCAGGCTACAGTTGGGGCCTTTGCGGCAATCCGCGGTGACGGCAAGGCGCGCCGCTGTCGAAGACTGGCACTTTCAGGGCTTAGGTTCAAAGGTCCGGACTGAGACTCTACATACCTCCTATGAAGCTCTAAACAGGAGGCCCTTGCTTCCCTAATCACCCTAAACCCTAAGCCCCTACCTAGTTGTCTGGGCCTGTCACAGACAAGGCGGCTCTGACAGCCAAAGATGGTGCTAAGACAGAAAATCTCCGAGGTTCAACTCAACCACAGGTCTTCTTCTTGGGTCCATATATATACTTCTCCTAAGGCATATTCTTGCATCTTTATGACAATATCACCTAAGGATTTTCTTGGAATATTCTTGTTATAGGTTATTTGGGATTAGAATATTCATAGGTCGTGGGAACTTTTAGAGCTGCTTCGCGCCCAGGTCATCACATGGGGAAGCGTTGAGTGTGGCGGGGACAGTATCTTGCTGGCGCCAATTGAGTAAACGTTGGGGTTATATAGGCATTTTTACAGGTGATCATGATAAGGGCTATCAAGTAGGATACTAGGAGCTAAGACTATAGCTCAATTGTTGGCATTACTTGTCGCTTACTCTACCGTTGTCCCAACACCCATCGCACACCGTCAAGACTGATGGTGCTGTCATCTTGTTGGTGCCTGTCATGGCTATTGTTCTGCGCGTATGGCTAAAGCATCAACATCTATTCTTCAAAGGGCAATGCTTCCTTCATCAACCAGCTAAGGTACTTCTGTGGAGGCCTTGCTTGAGGATGTCGTTTCCATACAGGCAACATGGGCAAAACAGCCAAGCTATGACAGCCAGCAGGATGGTTTCACTAGGGTTTAGGGTTTAGGGTTGGAGCCTGAATGCAGGGCCCATTTATAATGACAACTTTATTAGCTAGCATTGTGTATACCCGGGTATAAACTCTTTCGCTTATTTCGCGGGCTCGCCTGACATCTATGAGGGCCAGGGCGGGGTGGACTTGGCTAGTGTCAAATCACTACGGCCTCCTCAGCTCACGCATAGCCTACACCTCCCCAGACCCGAACAGGTGTAGGCGACGTTCAGGTGATTAGATCTCCCAGGTAGGCGTAGGGGGCCTAGTACGGGCACGCAGCTGATAATGATAACTCTCAGCTTCAAAAGTGCTTTGCTTCTCCCAAAAACCTTCTTGTTTTAATTTGTTTTAAAACAAATTAAAACAACCCTAGAGGCGACCCATAAATCCTACGCTGCTCTTCGGCGAGATGGACGAGTCATCACCTGGGGCAGCGGGGCATACGGCGGCGACCTTGACAATCAAGTTTCTGGCTCGGTTTAGGGGTTTCGGGTTTAGGTTTAGGGATATAGGGTTTTAGGGTTTTGGATTTAGGGTCTTTTGGATTTGGGGTTAAGGATTTGTGGGGTATGGGCTGCACTGTATAGGGGCTAAGTATTTCCGTGCCTCTAAGGGAATTTCTAGGGCTATACATCGGACTTCAGGCTTGTTATGATGGGAGATCAAATGGCACATGGACTGGAAACTGGGTTTGTGGGGGGGGGGCGTGGTTGTAGGGATGATCCTAAATATTGGGCAACCTCATCCCAGAAGGCCAGCGCAAACAAAAAACATGTAAAGCCTACACTCTTCAGTCAATCTGCCTAGATCTTAATTTTTCAAGTTAGTGAGAACTGTACAGACTTTGTAGAGTTTGCAATAGTTGTGTTTAGCAGCAGTAGTTTATCATGTCAGAAGAATCTTACTTGGACAAATTGCAACAAGCGCGCCCAACCTGTCCCCGACTGCCCTCCTATGTGGCAGATAGTCCCCAAAATTATCCTGAGTTCAGGGTTTAGACTTACCATAGTTTCGAGTTTAGGGATACCATAGTATAGCCTGATCTGAACTGGAAATCAGCCCCGCGCTGCACGCCTAGAGCCTTTTCTTACTGGTGGTAAGTAGGGAATGAAGGAATATGCTCCCTTTCCAACCCCTATGTCCTATGTATTACATTCCCATATTCCCAACTAACCACAAGTAAGTTTTTGGAAGGACATCATCCGAGAGCTCCAAGATGTTCGCAAAATTGGTTCAACCACAGGCGCCTTTGCTGCCATACGGAACGATGCTTGGCTGTTCAGGCTCAGAGGAATAAGGGTTAAGTTCTGTTTTTTTTTTGATTTGGGGTTTAGAGTATCTAGGGTTTAGTGTATACAGGGTTTAGGGTTCAGGGCTTCAAACTCAGAGCTCTTGCAAGCGATGGATGATGTGGAGCATAAGCTCAGTTTATCCTTTGCACGTCCTTCGATATTGCTTTTGTTTTACATGAGACTCTAGGCATTGTTTGTGTTGTTATTTCACGCAAGGCCTCAAAAGCAAAGTGTTTTGATCAGTTGCTGACTATAGAGTCTAGGATGGCACTTGCTTCACCTGGGGGTCTTTATCCTTCGGTGGCAACACCGAGACAATGAAAGATGTCTTACAAGATGTCAGAGATGTTGTTGGAGCCTCCCGGGCCTTCGCCGCTGTCAGAGGAGATGGCACCGTGCTTAGCTGGTGCTGTAAGCTTTGGCCGGACTTCGAAGGCATTGTGGGGGGAGACAGTGAAGCAGCGCAGGCGCAGCTATACGATGTACAGCAGGTTATAGCATCAACCCATGCCTTTGCAGCCATCCGGTCTAACGGAGATGTGGTAACATGGGGAGCTCCCGGCTGTGGTGGTGACAGTAAGGCTGTTCTTCATCAGCTGAGAGATGTGAAGACCATCTATGCAAATTCCTTTGCTTTTGCAGCTTTGCGAGGGGACGGCACTGTCGTCTCTTGGGGCGACAGCGCCTACGGCGGCGACAGTCGGACTGTCCAGAGTCAGCTCGAAAGTGTACAACACATTGAAACGACAGGAGGCGCCTTCGCAGCTTTGAAGCTTGATAAGACGGTCGTGGCGTGGGGGGGCGCTGATCATGGAGGTGACAACTCAGCCGTCGCTGGCAAGCTTACAGATGTGCAGCAGGTCAGTGGATCTTTGCAGGCCTTCGCGGCCCTGAAGAGTGATGGAAGCGTCGTGACGTGGGGAAGTCCTGAGCCCGGGCCATGGTTAAGCTAAATTCTACTTGTTCGTAGTCCCCCTTAAGTAGATAGAATATGGGGTATGTGGGTCTTATTATAAGATACCCCAAGCCATATTCTATCTACTTAAGGGAGACTATATGCACATTGAGATTTCTTCAAGGTAGTTCACAACAATGCAAAGAACAACCCAACGATGGCTAAGGAGTTCGGTGGAGACAGCAGCGCGGTTCAGGAGAAGCTGCACGACGTTCATCGTCTGTTTTCAGCTATGCGGGCCTTTGTAGCTGTGCGAGCAGATGGCACCTTTGTGACATGGGGAAACCTGCCCTTTGGAGGCCCAACTACATATCTGGAGCATGGCTATTACTAGACCACAACCGTTTCCCGGTTTCAACTTGCTTCGACTGAAAGCAGACACTGCGGCTTGGTCAATGGTGCAAAGCATCACGAGCCCCGTGCCCGTGCACATGCGCGTTGCAGAAAACATGCCGAGGCGGGTGCACAAATTTCAACACCCGAAGTCGACCTTGAAAGAGGCCGTCAAGGCGGCCACGGAGATTTTCATGTGTCCCTTGATTGGGCTTCCGGTTCCTTTGGGAGGGAAGGCTCTTCAGACAACCCCAGAGCTAAAGCGACGAGTCATGGGAGTGTCATGGAAATTTCAGAGCCCCGAACCCTAAATCCTAAACCCTAAACCCTAACCCTAAACCCTAAACCCTAAATCCTCAACCTTAAACCTTTAAGACCCACAGGATGTGTGGGGCTTAGAGCTTTGGGTCAAGAACTGCGGAATAGTGCCCCAGACTGATGTAAGTTAGCCAAGAAGAGTTCCATTCGTACTGGGGCTTGGTAGGGAAGGGGGGAATTTAAGATGTGGGATTTTTCCCTTATTCCGTAGGGTGAACTGGGCCTCAGGTAGGGCTCTTGACAACTTAACTTACCATGTGCCCTGCTCAATAGGGAACCATGAGAAGATCTCATGCCTAGTTGGTTTAGGGTTTAGCGTGCATGGGATTAGAGTCTTCTCGCGAAAGGCTTCAGTGGTTCACTGGACCAGAATTTTGAGAAACACCCATGTAAGGCCCTCAACCCTAAAACCTACACCCCGTAAACGACCCTTCTAGGACACAAAGGCATACATCCGGTAAAAATCCGAGGACGGACCGACACTGCATACAAGCCCTTAATTAAGCCAAGAAACCCCAGACCCTAAAATGGCCCTAAAACGAATTTGAAGGTTCTGAGATTTCTTTGTACTACCCAGCTGTAACCGTAGTTATAAGCCAGCTCTAGCCAAAACAAAGAACTTGAGGTGCTTCTCATCGAGTTGCAAGTGCAATTTCCATAGGTCGTAACCGTAGACCCTCGAACCCTGAACCCTAAAACCCTAAACTCTAAAACGCTAAACCTTTGAAATCCTAAAACCTCCAACCCCTAACACCGTAAAACCCTAATACCTTAAAAACCTAACCCGCAAATTCTAAGACCCCTAACATCCATTAACATCCTAAAACCCTACAACCTGAACTCCTAAGCCCCTAAACCCTACACCCTATAGCCTTAAACCCTGAACCCCTAAAACCTAAACCCCTGAACCCCAAATCCTAAACCCTGAACCTAAACCTTAAAACCCTGTTGCTGTTGGCGGAGGACAGGCCTGGCTTGGCCATAGGTATTGCAGCCAGAAACTCAGTGCCAGGATTCAGGGTTTAGGGCTGGGGGCTTAGGATTTAGGATTTGGGGTTTAGGGTTTAGGGTCTAGTGTTTCGGGGTTAGGATTTGGGTTTTGGGTTTAGGGTGTAGGGTTTAGGAGCTTCGCGCTTCGAGTCCCTACTGTTGATACGAATTAGGGAGATTAGGTAACCCCGGCCCCACTAAAGATCTAGGGGCTTTCACTTCAAGGGCCCAGGGTTGATACAAAGAATAAGGGTGTTTAGGGTTGAGGGTTTTGGTTTGGGGCTTGGGTCCTAAACCCTACCCTCAAGATGGGGGAGTTTGTAATCTAAGGGCTCAGCCCCAGGGGTTGATGTGAATATTGAGGGGCTTTTCATTGCTATGGGCCACCCCCCAGCATGCGGGGCTCCAAAAACTAAGGGTTTTTTAGTGATTATCAGTATTCGGGCAGATCAATGCTTTTTAGCCCTTTTCATTTTTTGGATGGCATATGGGGGGGGGGGGCTATGCTAGTCCTATGAGCGTTTGTATAGCCACATGACCTTTGTTATAGGGTTCCACTATAAGCCACCTGGGAATCCTGCACGGCCTTGGTATACTGCGGTATCAGAATTCACGGAGGCCTTGGGATGCTATAGCATCATGATTCCCAAGGTTTAGGGTGTTTATAGTCATGCAGGATCGTATCAATTGCCGCCGGCCTGTCATGGGTTCAAACATACTGTCGTTCAGGTTGTCTCGCCACAACATGTGTAGGCTCAGGGCTTACAATACGGCATAGACCTGGCGTTGGGGTTTAGGGTGCAAGGTTTAGGGTATAGGGATGAGGTTTAGGGTTGAGGGTGTAGGGGTCAGGGCTGATGAGGTTGATGGTGTGTAGGCCTTAGCCTTGGTCTTTTTAGGGAACAAAGGTCACATCGACCTCGGTCATCCTTAGCGATCCCGTTGGTGAACCGTGAACCCCTAGCGATGTATAGAGAACCTTAGAACCTTAGAAGGAAATCATGTTCACGGGGCTTAAGCCTGTTGCTTTTTGCCCTCCTTACTAAGTCCCTTGGGCCTCTATGTAATTCCACTGCAGTTTGGGTTTCCAAGAGCCCCCTGCTTCTGAGGTGGGCTCCGCGACCCAGATCTCTCTACTTGCTGTGGGCTCGGCCTGGCATGATGCGCAGTAACAGCAAGAATAGTTCTTCTATAACATAGCAACGATAACAGCAAGCATAAGAAGGATTCTGACGATAGTAATTGCCAGATGATAAGCTAAAATCAGGATAAGATTGCTCTACCCAAAACAAACGTGGAAACCCCAGCAAACAGCTCTAGAAGCACGGCTGCCCTTTGAAAAGGTCCCATCTCAGTTTGGGGTGGGTATACTTGCTTGCGGTCTGGAGCGGATCATGACGAAAGGACGTTTCTCCAAATTGCGGGTGTTTTTGCGTCGGTGGATTTGGGGCGCATAAAGTGGTCCCACGGCATACAAGGTTTGTACTGTTGGGTGTTCTTGGCAGTACTTGTTGTTGTCGCCAGCAGCAGCAGCCGCAATCCAATCCTGCTCGCGTTGTTACTAACATGTAAACGATGTGTTTCTGCTGTTTGCTTGGCCCGGAACTTCCTTCGCTTTTGAAGTCGCACAGGTCGCTCTGTGACCATCGATGACAATGGAATAAGTACTGGTATTACGTGTGCAGGATAGTACAGCATTAGCAATTCCAATCCGCTGCAGCATGACTATCGCTCTTGGATCCTGCGCTAGGGCGTATAGACAGTGGTGGTGGTGGTGATGCCGTTGTGGTGGCATCAGGTTGCTGACCGATCAAAAGCATCACAGTCGTTCTTTCAGTTGCGTGTCACGTGTCATTACTTGGTAGTTTCTAATTTGGTAGTTTCCCTAATTAGGGGGACCCCAATCTAGACCTCAAAATACTGTAATCCTTATTATAGGGAAACCCAAAAGGTACCCCTAATTCTGGGAGACCCCCATTTAAGCTGTTTTTGCTCTGAGTATTGTACCCAAAGCACAAGCAGACATGCCCTACCTGGCCGGGCAGAGGGCAAAGCGGAAAAGAAAGTTAGAGAGATTATGATGATGATGAGGATGATGAGGAGGATGCGTATGAGGAGGAGGATAATGACGATGAAGATGACGATCCTCTCTCTTACAACGCAACTCAGGGCAAAGTTATATAAGTCCCCATAACTCGAACCATGTCGCCCGATCCAATTGAAAACGCTCAGGTCGTGCCGTTCTCCGTCATCGTGGCATGGTTCATGGACGCGCGCTCAGCATCCGGGCGTCGTGATACGAGGGCTACAACATAAGGATTTTTGTTCCTTTACACAAAAAACCATGGACCAGGCTTTACAGTGGTGGGGGCAAAGCCTAGAACGGCACTTCGGCAAGCCCATCATGCTGAATTCTTTAGAACCATTTCGTGAAGATGCGATGCCTGAGGCTCGAACTCTTCGGCGTCAAATCAGTTGTAGTCTGAACTCCTTAAAGGGGGCTAGATGGGGGATTTTACGAGGGACGATAGTCGGGGTTATTGAGGGGGTACTAGGAGTTTAGACTATAGCCCTTTCAATTCGCAACAGCGGGTTATGCTTGGCTCCCATCGTATCATGTGTAAACTCTTGTCAGTCTTGGACCCTTGGCTCTAACATTCTTGCATTACATACGAGACTTGCTTGCCAGGTTACCAGGCGCAAACCTATCAGGGAGCCATATGGTGGAGAATCGAAAGCCTGCATGGCCTTAAGTATCTTACTGCGTGGTAGTTCATCGCCCACGGAATTTCCCTAGTTTCCCCGACTGCTCCCCCATATACTACCTCCCCCTACTTTCCCCTCTAGGGTTACTTCGCTAGAATTAGGCTAATTAGGAGGGAAGGGAAGTATTGGAGGAATTCATGAAAGTAAGCTCCCGTAGCCATGGGATCCTCGAAGCCATGTTCGAGGGACCTTCGGCTTGGAGCCAGGGTTGAGGTTTCGTGCTTGGGGCCTGCTTCAGGGTTTAGGGCTTAAGGGTTAAGGGTGCAGGGTTAGGGTTTAGCGGTGGTGCTCTAGGGTTTAGGGCGAAGTATTTCAGACCACTTTTCACTGTCAAAAAATCTGGTCAGGCGTAGGTTTGAAATCGTGGTTCATGTTCGTTACCGAGAATCCGTGTAGAATCCCTAAAAAGCCATAGACCTGAAAATCTTGCAGGGCCCCCAGACTTATCCTGCTGCAACAATTGAGAAAACCATGCGCAACGTTAGATTCCTGGGGGCCTTACCAAGTAGACAGCTTCAGTTGCAGTTTAAACGGAATATTATAAAGGGTCAGTGGGGCCCAGTAACAGTACACATTACATACTATAACTTTTATATACCATGTAATAAGCCCCCCAATAAAACCTGCCAAGTCCCTCTGACCCTGCAAGTATCACTATAGCCCTCAAGACAATCGGATTACAATCTTGTTTGGTTGATGTGATGTTTCAACATGGCCAAGCCATTGCTTGGTTCAACCACCAAACAAAAAGGCACCACAAAACACTATAATGAGGACCCCTACACACCCCCTTGGTTGCCAAAACATGTGCCGAAACCCCAAACCTGAAACCTGAAACAGTTTCTTTCGTCTGAGGATAAGCCTTTGGACCTGGACTTTGGCGTGCTGAACACTGCAGCGGCGGGCTCGAACGGAAAGCTCTTTCGG